AAGTGATAAGTTATTGGTTATGGTGTACAGTTACTCAATATTCAGCTTACTTGTCTTAAAGCATTAACACTGATATTAGGTTTCCATCTATAAAGTAATATTACTATTTGAATTTTTTCATGTTCATACATGTAAACAGGTGTTTACAAATGTAAGTTGACTCGTAAAGCACACCTTTTTGGAGCTTACGTAATCGATTATAATTTACATAATAACAAGATTGTTTATTTGCTAGCCAAAATGCATATTGTTATTATTGCTTTAATTATTGTTAATTGTATACGAGACTTTTGCTTTAAAAATGGCAAATAGTGGGTGTACATAATGTAAGCTATACATTACGTCATTCACCTCGTTAGTGTGTGAATGAAGTCAATATTTCATCTCAAATACAACTTACTTCAAGAAGGTACTATTAGTTATAAATCATGGTAATAGTTAGTTATTATCTCGACTAAATTATCATTCTGAAGAATAGATTCAGTGCTTACAATTAGTTCATTTTGATAGGAAAGCGGATTATCTCACCTCATTATAAAACCAGTGTCATTTTTCAATTAACCTCAAACTACTTATTTGTTATTTTCCACACAAAAAAAAAAACAAAATCATTTCTATAATTGACGAGATCTTTCCTGGAATACAAATAACTTGAGGATTCACATATTCCATTATTATACAAAGGGAGTTTTAACTGTTAAATATCTCAGTATATTATAGACAAAAATGGATAGTGGCTAGTAGCGGAATCCAGGATGTGGGTTTGAAGCGAACGGTACTGGGTTCGAGTCCCAGAGTAAACATTAACTCTGAGATGCAGGTACATCCAGTTGACGAGTCCCAAATAGGATTAAATGAGCGTCATGGATTCCTTTGATTTAAGGCAATATCGAGGGAATCCGTACAGGATGCACAGATGCCAACAAGAGACCGATCAATCTCAATCCTAAACATTAATGAGAGGATTCAAGTAAACAATATCAAGTGAATCTCGGTGTATTGTTTTTACATAGAAATAAATAGTGAAATAATTTTGTTGGATTATCGATTTTATTCCAGTTGAATATCAGCTGATACTTGAAATAGATTATGAAAAGTTACAATGTTTCTATTCTTTTAATTAAAAGAATAACAATGATGAATTACGGTCTTTATTCTTTTTCTATTGAATAATTCAGATGATTTATTATTCAATAACTGAATCATGTAAAAACAAGAGAGAAGGTGATATAAGAGTTTCTGTTATCTAACATTAGTCAACTTTCTTTTTATAATCATAATGAATCACAATTAGGTCACAAGTGATATATTCCTAGAATGTTTTTAAGTAAAAACTTAACATAATCTGGAATTGGTAAAGATTTGTGTATAATAACAGAAATTCATTTTATATGAATATTCGTCAAGATTAGAACGAATAGTTTGGCAGAAATCGGGCGCCGAGTATAGAGAAGTCATTATATGTGAAAATTATATTTGATATAATCTCAGAGATTGGAATTTGAATAATTCCAATGTTTCGTCCAGCTAACTTGTCTGAATTTCTTCAGGGTAATGCAATCAAAAACGCTGGAATTATTTAAATTTCAATTGCTCAGATTATATCAAATATAATTTTCACATATAATGATTAGAATGAATAGTTTGACAAAAATTGGGCATCGAGTAAAACATTATCTGTGAAAATCATATTTCAAATAATCCCAACAATGGTAACTTAAATACACTGAAGAAGTCCAGACAGGTTTACTGGACTTAAGAGATTGATTGAAAGTTATATATATATATATATATATATATATATATATATATATATATATATATATATCCTATAACTTTGATAGTGACACAAAGAAATCAAAGGGTTAAAAATACGTGGTTACTTAATGTACAAATCCTTAAAAAGATATATTCATGTGTGTCAATCAAGTTTACAAGGTGTTTTGATGTATTTATTTAGATAAATCAAGAAATCAGAATGGAGAATCGTGGAGATTGCAGTAAATTTAATAGTTGAATTCATGAATTGATCTAAGCTAGACCACCATTAGAAACTTGGTAGCATTGGACAGCTGTTTCGCCCTAGTATGTGACTCCTCAGCAGTGCACATCCACGATCCCACACGGAAGACTCAAACTCAGAACTTTTGGTCTCACATGCAAACGCTTAAACTCTAGACCACTGAGCCAGCATTCAACGGTGTTAATGTCTTACTTCGATCGACCCATGAATATAAAGTATGGGATCGATACATACATGTATGCAGCCAACTGAAATAATGATTTTAATCCAAATACAATCACACCTAATTCAAAATTTTTCACATCCAAATTAAATGATTAGAAATATGAGGTTTCCATCGTTCGGTTATTTTTCGTAAATTGATTATTTATCAACCTCATACTTCTCCTTTATGAAGTTATCACAGATTTACTGATATTCCATTAATTTGTTAAGACAGTTTCGAATGATGGTGACTATACTGTTTCATTTTTTATGGAATAAATTTATCGTACTTATTATTAAAGAGTGGCTTGTTTTACGAATCTTAAATTACAACCTGTAAAGAATTGAAGTTTAATTTTAAAAATAAGTCAGTTCTCACCATCAAACTGTTCTAGTAATCGTTAATCAACTTTGATCTGAGAAGTAGTGGGACAATTTCAACAGTGTATCATACCATTCTTCTTCATATTCAATTATCAATGTTTTCTATTTAAAAATAATCATCTTGACGGAGTTTTGTCCTCTGAGCTAGATGGTTTGGTCGTAGAGCTTTCATCGTTCTTCTGAACGACATCATCAGCACAAACTTCAGATAGAAGTGGGACGTTTGAATTTCTCCATATGTGTGTCACAGCTTGTCCTGTACACCTCGATGTTGATTGGTTCCTATTGAACTTAAATTTGTTATTGTTTTGGTTGTCTCCCATTGGTTTGATTTTTGTACAGGACAAGCTGTGAAACACATATGGAGAAATTCGAACACTTCACTTCTATCTGAAGTTTGTGCTGACGATGTCGTTCAGAAGAACGATGAAAGCTCCACGACCAAACCATCTAGCTCAGAGAACAAAACTCCATCAAAATCATCTACCTGAGTTACAAATCTTCTCCAATATCTTAAAATAATCATCCTTAATGTTAATGTGAAAGTACTTTGACGGGCAAGTAAAGCAATGAAGTTTTCTTTTAAATATATTTACAAAATCCATCATATATTCTCGGATCAACTATAACTTTTGATTACAGTGTATAAAGTATACAAATCAGTTATTTAATCAATAATTCGTAGGATAGTAATCTTGCATATATTGCTGTAATCGATTTTTAGTGAATATTTAGCTTGAAGTTGTTCACCAATGAAAATTCTAAACCATTTTTTTTATATGGTAAGTATTAACTCCATTTTAGTGATTTATTTAGATACATAATCAATGAAAGTTGACAAGTGAAAACGTACTTATACATTTATTTATTTAAAAGATACTAGTTAAGTAATAGTCCTAAAAGTTAGTTATTATATAACATTTATAAAGAAATGATAAATTTTAACCTTACGATCAATTTTTAAAGACCAACTGACTAACTAATAACTCTCCAACATCACAGTAAACAGAAATTATTGTTATCCCTACGAATTACATGTACCAACACCCTTTGCTAAGTGACTAGATGACGTTAGATAGTTAAAGGCAGTTAGCAGAAAACGTCATTAATAAGTTTCGAGTTTTTTGACACTGATCTGAAAGATATGCCTACAGTCTTGGTTGAACTAGTGCTCATAATGGAATTTCAATGGATTTCAGAATCCAAAACGAAAATGCTAAGCTATTTACATAATAACGGACCTCTTGTAAAACTAAAAATCACATTGAAAGCATTAGTTATTTAGGGATTGTAGCCAGACCTTGCCGATGAGTGCAAATCAGTGCAGTAGCTGGACCAAAAAATGTTTCTTACTGGCGACCTCGAGCTACCCAACACCAAAACATAATTTATACGGTGTTGATACGCTTAAACTAGTATTCACACTTCAAATTAATCAATACGCCTCGACCAACAATAAGGACTAGACGGACATAAAATTGGTTACTACTTAGTGATCACTTAACCATGAACTACATAATACACATTTCCAACCTGAGTGAAAATATCAATGCCTCAGTGTTACTGATTTATATTTTATACATTAGTTCTAATAAGCAAGGAGAGTAGATTGATAATTTCATTGTAATTATCCCTAAATCTTTAGTAATGTTTTCATTAATCATGGAAAAAGTTATCTATAGTGATAAAGCATCTTTTTGATGATAATAATAATTTGAAATCTCTTATATACCTTCATCATTTATATTTCTCAACTGATTATAAAGTTTCGTTTTATCAAAGCAACAATCCAAAGGCTCTTTACATTCCAATGTATTTTTCTTATGTATTTATTCTAATAATGTTATATTAGTATTAGAAGGGGTTTTTTGGAGATTGTAGTAATTTCAATCGTTGAGATCATGATTCAATTGAAGTTAGACCATCACGGAAAACCGGGAAGCACTTGATGGCCGTTTCGTCTCATTGTAGAACTCCTCGGCAGTGAGCATCCATGATAGGTCCTGGGTTCGAATCCCGCGAGGCGGGGTCGTGGATGTTATATTAGTTTACCAATTCACTGTGTCTAGAAAAGTAGGTGATTATTAGAAGTTCGAATATTTTTTTCTAAATTTTCACTCTATGTAACAAATAATTAGCATTGATAATAATGGGTTGATAGATGATCCTATTCAATAAGATTCAAGAATAAAACTATGCGTTACACAAATGACTAGAACATTTTTAACCAGTTAGAATTTATTGACTGCGTTCAAACCCGTATTCGTTTTTAATAATAAGCAAAAGAATTTGAACATTCCAATAGTATATTTAATTTGTGCGAATAACATCATATAACATAAATGTTTGTTGTATATAAACTGATGTTCATATAGACATTTTGAAATTTTCAGCAAAATCCAGCATTCTATAAGATACAAATAGAAGAAGCGGAAGAATATAAAGTAGTTTAGAATAATTTAAAAATCATTGAATTCTCTGAATTGATAAAAATTAGTATCAGAAGAAGTTTTCGTGGATATTATAGTAACTTCAACAGTTGAAATCACCGGTTAATTGAAGCTAGACCATCATGGAAAACTTGGAAGCACTGGACGGCCGTTTCGTCCTATTGTGAAACTCAGCAGTCCGCACCCACGATCCAGCCTCGTGAGATTCAAACCCAGGACATATCGATCTCGAGAGCGAATGCTTAAACTCTAAGTCACTGAGACAGCATCCAACAGTGTTAATGTCTAATTTCAACTAATCCACGATAAAAATTAATCGAAAAGGCATTTGATTCAATGTTATTAATAATCAGTGAATTTTGGGTAATCCATTTAGACTGAGTTTGTTTGTAGACTATTGACCAGTTGTTAGATCAAATTTAATGAATTAACTTATAACTGAGTCTAAAGAAAAATTTTCTTGTTGACAAAAATCGTGGTTTATGCTACTTATGTCTGTCAACATAAGTAGTATGTAACGCCCATGGAAAGTGAAATGCATACCAGCAGAAGATTGAGAAGATTGAATTGCAGAGATAGGGAATGTAAACTGGTAGTAATTGTAATAGCAATGGAGTAACGATTATGCTTGAGGCAACTGATAGACGATTTGCAAACAATGTATTTAATTTATGGTTTTCACATTTTACGAAACAATTTCTCACCTGAGTGTGCTATCACTACAATGTTACCACTTTTAAAATTTTCAGAAACGTTTAGACAAATATTTTTTTCAATTCGGTCAATAGATGGATGAGTTTAATATCTACTGTTGTTAGTATATAGTCTCTAATTGTCAATAACTTACTTTGGTTGTCATATATTCTATTTTTGTAAATAATGAAATTCACAAATTGATCTTAGCTAGATCACCATTAAAAACTTGGAAGCATTAGATGGCCATTTCGTCTTAGTATGCGACTTCTCGACATTGAACTAAGATCGGTTTTTGTTGTGAATTATGAAAATACTACAATCTCCACAAATCGTCATCACTAATAATTTTGAAATTCACAGTAAATCTCCTTAATTGACTTCATCTAATGACTTTTTAGTGATTCATATCGAGCTTCTGTGTGATTTATTTTTGTTTATATCAGCCTTGTCAGTAAATTTATCACACCTCACATTATTAAGTTATGTTGTGGTGTTTTTCATGATTAATGGGATATACGTTTTTAACAGAGATGTATATATGCATCTTAGTATATATGTATCTGTTTTGTATTCTATTTATTATCTGTTTGGATTTGTAAACTAAGTAAGTCTTAATGTTTTTGACTCAAGGTAATTTCCGAACCAAATCTGCCTACTACAGTTTGTTTGCTGAAATGTGATCTGATATTCGAATTTTAATATTGTGTTATTTAAAGATGATTAGTCTTATAGTGGCCCTGTTCTTTAAATGAACTTTCCTGTGGTTAATTCCAGTTCAATTTTCTGCTGTGTTCACTTAAAATATAACTTACAAACATCTCACGTATTTAGTCTAATTCATTAACAGCCTTAATTGTTTCTGGTATTTTAGTATCAGGCCTAAAGGACACTCATAAACAAGGTCAGCATTGCGATGACCTACATTTCAGATACAAGGTTAAATGTGATCTACATTTACCAAAATCAAACGTGACCATTACTTCAAATATTATCTTATCCATTGATAAGCAAGGTTAACATTAATTGCACGGCCACTTTTTTTTTCGAGTGAAATTTTTTTTCGTCCCATTCGAAAAAAGTTTTCATCCCCATCTTCAAATAATTTTCATTCTGTTCCGTCCAATCAAATAGCTAGTTCTAAGTTCGTCATAATTGGTCGTTTATTTCTTAAAATTGATATAAAATGTCAGGGCATGACGACAGAGCATATTTTCTCCCAATTATGAACGGTAGTAGGGTACAAGGCACAAGCTCTGTCGTTCCCCACGTTGTCACAGAAACCGATAACCTATTATCTCGTAGCGTCTCAATCACTTGAAGCGTTGAAGAGCGCCGTTAGAACTCATGTAAGAGCTACGTACTGCCATTATGCTTTATCGTCATGTCCTGACATTTTATATCAATTTTAACAAATAAACGACCAATTATGATGAACTTAGAACTAGCTATTTGATTGGACGGAACAGAATGAAAATTATTTGAAGATGGGGATGAAAACTTTTTTCGAATGGGACGAAAAAAAAGTGGCCGTGCAATTAATGTTAACTCAATTTGAAGGTTGTTAGTAAACGCATACATTCATAAGTATAGTCATCAATGAGAAAACCAATCGCCTATGTGTTAAATAGTATCAATGAAATCGCAATTAAGTAAATAACTTCATATAAAATATTAAATTAACGTACCTTACAAAGTCGATACACTGCAAAATGTTCATTGAAGCTAAAGGTTACAGCCATGAAAATATCATGTAGAAGTGAATTGCACTAAAACAACATAACACAATCAATTTAAGTGAATACAATGGAAAATTATTTTATTCAACAGTTATAATTATCATCTGAATATATAATATGAGACATCAATAACGAAGAATAAGATCCAGAATAATCCAGGTTTGAATGTTGAAAGAAATAGCTACGGCTAAGCAGATGAAAGATAGGACACACATTGAAGAGAGCATCCAACTGTATTACAAGGCAAGCCCTCATATGGAATCTTCAAGGCCAAAGGAGAAGAAGAAGACCGAAGAACACATTACGTCGAGAAATAGAAACAGACATGAGAAGAATGAACAACGATTGAATAGTACTAGAAAGAAAGGCTCAGGAGAGATTGGGTTAGAGAATGTTGGTCGGTGGCCTATGCTCCATTGGGAGTAACAGGCGTAAGTAAGTAAGTAAGTAAGCAGATGAAAATTCAATAATAATGTAAATATTTAATCTTTTTTTTTCAAAAAAGGGTTATTATTTCAGTTTATTCAAAGCTTGTAAAACACTGACATTTATTTTTGTCCCTAATCTATTCTACAGAACATAAGCTTTCGTTCGAAGTATCATTCACTGCCATACCTTTTTCTGTTCCGAAGCTATTGTAATTTAAACATATTATTTTGCACCCTATTTTCTACTCTAATTCCCAGCTTTGGACATAATTGTATTTTTCCTAATTATTGTACGTTGCGGTCGGGTTATTCACTTATTTATTCATGTACCTTTTTACACTAATCTGAATTCAGTGAATCCAGTGAGTTCAGTGGTCAGGGAAACAGATCGAGTAGTGTTCCAATTGTCTTGTCTTCTCTCATTCGTGTGCTTGCCCACCAATCAGGTGACAGAATAGTTTTCTTCTCTCTACCCGATCTCGAACTCACGCGTACTAGTCTCAAGGTTAAGCCGATCAGCCTATCGCGTCAAGGTCGAACTCTAGATTAGACAAGTATCCTCGGCACCAAAAAGTGGGTAAACAAATCAAGGTCATAACAGTTATGTTTATCACTTAAACTATGTATGTTTAACCATATTAGACAAATGTTTGAATTAATTCAATCGAATTGGTTGATTTATAATAAAGAATCTTTCGTTAAAAAAATAGGAAAACAACATAAAACAAACTCACTATGATAGATAATTTAGGTAATTTATCACACATAGTTAATGTGTTATTGTATAATTCTGATAGAAAAGGTTCCGATAATAACATTGATTTTATCAGTTGTACAGTATTGAAACAACATCTACAAACTGACGGTGTGTAAACAGGATAGAAAATATCATTAGTCAATTTATGATAAATAATTGTGTGAAAAAAAACTTTAGATTTAAGGATTTTTAAAGGTTTATGGTATTTATTTGTTGATACTTAATACTGCATTTGATAAATCTATATTGTAGAATATGCATTGTGTGTTGATAGCTTGATACGGTTTTGAAGTTCATCAGTACGTAATTATATCGATTTTATTATAATGAACTTGTTCATTAATATCGAGTTGCGCCCATATTATGTTCAGAAATATACTAAAACTAGTATTTATGGGAAATATAAAGGAAAACAACGACTATGTATATACTCCGAAGAACACAGGTCAGACAAATTCTAGGATATCAATGACAGGATAATACAAACCTACAGACACAGTTGATAAACTTGTGTATGGGTAATCATGAAGGAACTCAATGAAATATCAAATAGGGGAAATTTATGAAGGAATAAATATCTCAACTACTCAGTCAAAATAAGAGAAGCACGGTCACAATCTATAAGGGTGCTGATTGGTTAATTCAAATAGACCAGAATAGGGTTTGTGGAGATTGTAGTAATTTTAATAGTTGAATTCATGAGTCGATCAATGTTAGACCACCACTAAAAATCTGGAGGCGCTGGACAGCCGTTTCGTTAAAGTATAGGACTCCTCAACAGTATGCATCTACGATCCTTCATGAAGGACTCAAAACCAGGATATTCGGCCTCGCGCGTGAACACTTAACATTTAGACCACTGAGTCGGCATCCGACAGTGTTAATGTCGTGACCAGTGGGGTCGAATTTGTGTCGGGTGGAGACAGGTATCTACCTCAGACAATGGATGAATGGTTGCGCAACCATTCACGGAGCGATTAAAGTCAGACATTAACAGTCAATTGTCTAGAGATTAACCATCCGAGCGCGAGACCGAAGGTCCTTGGTTCGAGTCCCATGTGAGGGGTCGTGGATGTGCAATGTTGAGGAGTCCCATACTAGGATGAAACGGCGGGGTTTTGATGATGGTCCAGCTAAGATCGACCCATTAATTCAACTATTAGAATTCATATAGAAACTGAACTTTGTTAGTTAAGCTAAGGTTATCCTCGACGTTTTCATTGTTCAATACAGATTCTGTATCCAGCTATTCCGGACATCTTTCCCTTTATTTAGTGCGTTAGCTGTACATATTAGTGTAGTTTTCGCCATAGGTTTTATTTTAAACCCTATGTTTTATTATATTGGACTGCTCTACACTGGCATTTGCAGCGCATAGTTGTGAAGAACCTTAGTTGCTTGAAATAAAATTTGTAATGAAAATTACATCCCAATATGCGGCACTAAATGAGCAGAAAAATGGATGCAACAGCTAGATATAACTCACTTGTTAAACTTTTGAAACTTAGCAGATTATGTTAGCATTTAGTCGTTATTTTCTAAGACTAAGGTACATTTCCATGTAATTTACCTGACTTTAAGTAGTTGTTTGAGAGCCGTAAGTCTAATTTCTATGGTTGAAATGATTTTACTTATAATCCATAAGGTTGTTTTACATTTTTATTTTAGGGTGACGTTAGGAAGCTGATATTAATCTTCTAACGATGCTAAAATGTCTAAGTTTACTTAATTACTGATTAGTTTATATTTTTGATAGCTTTTTATACACAACTCATTGTATTCCATTTTTTTATATTCTGATAATGTCCATTTGTGGTAAACTTAAATGAAACACTCCTCTTATTATTATTATTATTTTAACGGGTTTATTTTTAGGTGATTTCCTGTGCCTCGTTGAATAATAAATGAATCACAATAAACACCAAACTTTATCTCTTGAAACTGCAAGAATCTCATAACTCGATGACTGGTATTTTTTTATGGTGTAGCAATAAGTTGGTAGAAAGCTAGGGTCTCTCAAATCAAAACATGGCTTCAACCTATTAAATCATCAACTGATGTTCTGAGCCATGTCGATAAATACGGATTGCGTGGTTGGAGTCTACATGATAACCGCAATCAACGGTTAGATACGTTAGTTGACATGGCTCTGAATAGATTATAATACTACAGGTGGTTTCACTCTTTATTTTCTTCTAGATTTTAAGCTTGAGCATTGCTTAATGAATATATTTCTACGCTGTCTTTTAAACCGTATTCTAGTGTCTAGTTTTTCTCATCTTCGATGGTACTGCATTATTCCGATTCCTTCACCATTCATTAAATTACTTTTATTTCATTATGTTAATGTGGTAAATTAAGTTGGTCCAAAAGATGTTTGCTATAGTCTCTACATTGACTTTGACAGATAGACAGACTAACTGCGTTCCAAATAGTTTATTTTTAAAATTAACTGCATTCAAAAATTTTATGTTCAATATCAGATGAAAAGTTAATCGTTCTTGTCAGCTTGGTAATGCAAATACACAATGGTTAACACAAGTCTAGTTTATAATGTCGATAACTTGTTAAACATTGCCTAATCTGTAGTGACTATATGACATACTTTTATGAAACTACTTATTTGGTAAGGGGGATTGTTTTATGTTTATTATATTACGGTGAATGGTAATTTTATATCAGAAATACTTATTATCAGTCCTTATTAATATCAAATTTAGATTTTAAGTCCGTTTGATTGATGGTTTATTTTCTAAATAATAATCTGTTGTTCAACTTTTTACGTAGATGTTTCATTGTTTAAGTTTCTAAATTTTCAGTGAATTTATCCTGATTGATTGAAGTTAGACATTAACACCGTTGGATGCCGACTCAGTGATCTAGAGGTTAAGCGTTCACGCGAGACTGAAGGCCCTAGGTTCGAATCCCGAGAGAGGGATCGTGGATGCGCACTGCTGAGGAGTCCCACAATAGGACGCTCTCAATCAACAACTTAATAATCTTTACAACTTTACACTGATATCCTGAAAATATCTTATTCATATATGTGCTCATTATCAATAAAACTCTATGGAAAGTTATAAACTATCGAAATCGGTCTCATGGTAATTAACTTTAGTCAAAAATTAAAAATGGTTTTTTTTAAATTTGATTACACATAATAAATAAATCGTATTGATCTATACCTCTGTGTACTTATATTTCTCATTTGTATCTGTTTGTGATAACTGTGAGTAGTTTTGTGTGAAATCAATAATTCCTTCTTTTTAACTTGTAATAATGGGATGATTGGTTGTTTGTTTGTTTTTTATCAATCATGATATCACTTCTTATATACTCGTGCTGAGTATACATAGAAGTTGCAACAAATTAATAGATTATTTAAATACAACATAAAATTGTATAAACTTACCAGGTACAATGGGTGGGTAATAGCAGAAACCGAGAAACTGTGGAAAAAAATATAGTTGATTGACAACTCAGTTATATTTTTAAGTTAAAGTTGTGATTCTATGTGTGTGTATGGGGGGGGGCAATTTACTTAGATTATTAGTGTAAGTGCAATGTTCTATAAATAAAAACAAAATTCATTTATTTCATGTTATGTGTATGTGTTTACTTTTTGATCAGAATCTAAGTATAATATTAAGTGAATTCATGGTATCCCTCTTTGGTATGATCGAATACACTTCATAATGATCTTATGCCAATTAGCTCACTGGATCCATTGTAAATTTAACTAAGTTCGGTTGGCATCAAGTGAAAAAAATAGAAGTTTGATTACCTACTTTATGAACAAGAAATTTATTAATGTACAAAAATAATATAACTTTTACCAATCATAAACTATCACTGCATTAATGAAGATTGAATTATTAGGATCCACTTATACAGCCTATATATGAGTTGAGAAACACTTGTTTGATGTTGTCAAATCAATCGCCCATTGAAAGATTTGAATTTTCTGGGTTGAAACCCTGATGGAATAGTGTGTATGTACTGCAGAAGAGCATAGCATTAAGACAAAACATATGTTTAATACTTCTAGGTTTTCAATGATTTTCTATGATGATGGCGAGACTATAATTTATGAACAAACCAGTCGAATTTAGGATAATAGGTTTTCGATTTTGACGGGAAATTCACTCACTCATTCATCCAAATAGAGTCTTGGCATTTTAGCTGATGTCAGTTCGTGATGAAAACCCTAAATCTAAATCCTAACCCTTACCATCGATTGTAAATCATTGACTTTATTCTACAAACTGTTTTACAACCTTCATTTAGCCCTAATAAGTAGGTATACACTTTCAAGCTCACTTTGGCGTCACTCAAAGGTCGTCCATAAATTATAGTCTCACTATTCTTTGAGAAGAAAAGTGAAACTATGATAGATATACTCATTAATTTTCAGTTACATCTAATTTCATGTTTATAATATTGATTTTGAAGAGAACAACATTAAACTAAAGAATGTAGCATTAACTGAAAGTTAATTTATTTTATTTCATAAAACCAAAACCAATGTGCTTCATTTCAATTAAACTAACCCTGTACAATAAATACATTACTATTCAAATAATTGTCTCCGATTCCAGTTTATACATTGTTACGTGTTATAGATTTCTTCAATTATTAGATACAAAGGGATAATGTACATTTACTGAGAAATTAATCTACGCTTCATATATCCTTTTCTCTTTTGTTATGACTGATTATGTTAACATAACACTAAACAAACTTATGAAAAGTTGAACGTTGCAATATCTATTCATACACTTATATGTGAAATCTATTTTTCATTATGTAAAATAAAACCCCAAATCGAGATGGAATTCAAATATAACAGTCAGACAATGGATTACTAAACTATTATTTAAGTAGACATTAGAAAACTATTTACTTTTTCATGGGTCAATTATTAAACAACTAAACATTAACAAAATGGATAGAAAAGATCACTGATTATTGGCTGATCTCATCTAAATAATCTTAATTAGAGAATTCTTCAATTTCGAGACATCTAATTAAACATACGTTCATTAATTTGAAGATCACTATTTCAATGCTCATTTTATCATTGTCGTACAAATATCACTTACTTTTCTTTATCTAAAAAATATTATCAACTAGTCAGTCAACATTTTAAAACCATAGAAAAACGATTGACATTTTACTTAAAGATATATTATACTAACTTACAGCACACCACTTTTGTGGTACTATATGACGGAAAAGATAAAAGACCTGTTGTGAAAGTTCACTTGCTAACATTCTACACTGTAAATAAGAACACAAAAATAAGGAAGAAAAAAGGTAATGAAAACTTTCTATCTGACCGTAACTAATATTAAGGGCAAAAAAATGTAATTCAAGAAGCTATTTTAGTAAAACCCACATGGTGTAGCATTTGGATAACATTTAATCTTAAATAGAAACTCCTCACGAGTTTTTGACATTAACCCTTTTAATCTATCAACTTAAAATCTCTTTGCATAATTTACTTAAAATGATGAATAGTAATCTTATGTATTTACCTGGGCTAAGCGGTTTCCCTAAAATGATTGTTCTACATGCTATAATACAGTTTAAGTTTTAGTGTGACTGAAGCTGATGAGCGTTATAAATGATGACCAATGATCAACGGCCTGGTATTGTAAATACTATCTTTGAATCCTATGGGTAGAAACTTCCATTCATAGGGTATATGAATGAAGGAGGATGAGAACTGCTATAGAACATAAAAATCAATACGATCATTGGACATTACATCATACCGAACTCAAATGAAACCAACAGTTATTCTTTTGGTTAATCTTTTTAACTTATACACATGATTACCTGTGTGTGTACGTAATGAGCATAGTTGGTAAGTTAACGGGAAATTCAAAGATTTCAACATCTTTTCTTAATGATATTCAAAAAGACATTTACGTAAAGTATTATACGTATGTTAAAAATAATGATTAATCAACATGAATAGGGAATATTTCATAAGCTTTTAATCTTTTCTCCAAAACCACTAAATTAATACCCCAACCTAATGCAAACAACAAGTGATACTATCGACAGGTAATCACAACGCATCAGGAATAGTTTAATTTGATTAGGCATAACTTCTCAATATAACTTCAAGAGTTCATTATCAACGTAAGGAGTTTGTATATGGTTTTTTTTATACCGTGAATTAATAACAAATAAGAAACCACAGAAAACATTTGACTTATAATCTTGTCTTCACTAGTACCCATACAACAGACGGATTCATGAAAATGCAGTAATAAATTATAACTGATGAAGTTCAACTAGATCTGCAGTGAAACAATTACCGACAGATGAGATTTAATAATTTTTGCACTAAATCTTAGATTTACTGATGTTAAAAAACATAGATCATTAGTTATCAACTAAATGATTTACAGATAACATATTTGCTTTGAGACCTGAAGTTTTCAATTTCATCCTCGTCTAATAAAGCGTAAAACTAAAGAGTATACTAGAAATTATGAAGAGTACAACTGTTCTCCGTTAACTATTTCTCTAGTAACTACTCATCTGATAATCATTGCATATAAGTGATATTTGTCATTCTGTCCATTATTTTAATTACAACTGATATACTGAAATATAAGATTTCGAAGTCTCACAATCACATCATGATCATATTTTATTTCATTTTGTTACCATATGTTATAGCATTTCCTTTTAATCCAGGAGGCTTTACGATATAGATGCATCCACAATTAGATTGAGTTGTGCTCATCATCAATATGTGTATATGCCTAAAAACCGATCAGAAATGATAAAATAGTAATCTATTGGGATTCTACAATACAAGAATCTTTCGATCTCAGAATGAGTATGAAACAACTCACTGATTTATAATTAGAGAGGGTTTTGCAGAGATTGTAGTAGTTTAATAATTGAATTCACGAGTTAATTGAAGCTAGACCACCATGAAAAACCTAGAGTGTTCGCGCGCGAGACGGATATGTCGTGGGTTCGAATCTCGCGAGGCAGTAATCTAGCTGCAATTGACTCATTGATTTAGTCAATTTATGATAAAACATCACAATATATTTTCACTGAATTCTTGATTTTTAAAAAAAATATAGGTCCTTATTTGCAAAATTCAATGTTATTGTATTTATCTATGTCTGATTGTAAGGATTATTTCACCAATATTTCCTTCATATGAATTCAGAATCTCTTTCAATATTCTGTGTTTATGAATATCGAATTAGTCGACTAGATATGAACGTGTAATTTGTGAATTTATTTTATAGACAACGAACTTGATCCTGGCCACACTCGAGATACAAACAAAATTTAAAGCTATATTGGTTGACAGATGCTAACAATACGAAAATTGCTAAATATACCGTGATCTAGCCATTGATCAAGCAATATCAATATGCCTACATAAGCTTAGAAAAGATTATATTTTAATCATAAGCAAACTAGACAAAGCAACAAGATTAGTTTTTATCAGTAAAGGTTTGTGGAGATTATTAAGTTATTGATCGAGATCTTAAACCGATTGATGTTAGACTACCATCGAAAACCTGGAAGCACTGAACGGCCGTTTTATCCTATTGCGAGACTCCTCAGCAGTGCTCATCCACGATCCCAGTCGCGCGACTCGAACCTAGGACCTTCAGTCTCGCACCCGAACGCTTAACCTTTAGACCAATGAGTCGGCATCCAACAGTGTTAATGTCTAACCTTAACCAATCCACGAAGTTGCGTGACCATCTTCCACTGCATTGATGTAGATACTTATCTCTACTCCACTGGTCACGGCTTCTCACTAGAACTCCGAGTATTCCCTCACAAAGTTGGTTCCACAATAGGCTGTCCAGTGCTTCCAGGTTTTCAATGGTGGTCTAACATCAGTCGGTTCAAGATCAGTCCTAATGAACAAGACGGATGATCCTACTAAACTGGCTTGATTGGTTTAGTATTTCCGTATATATAATTATATATTAGGATAAAGCCTGATAATGACTTAATTGAATACAATATTGTTCAATTAAAGATATTGTTATAATCTTGAAAGACACATTTATGTATATAATCAATTAAATATTGAAAAAATTTATTTATTACTTACGGAAGTATTAAATGGACCTGTTTCCATACAAAGTGTTTCAATCATATTACTGGTCGACTTGTTTGTTGATGGACTTAAAATCATATTTAAAACTTTTCCTGTACCACTTTTACAAATAATGCACTCTGAAATTGACAGAAAAAATAATGCAAATATAATATTTATAATATAATATTTCAGTAGTTGAGATCATTAGTCATTTGAAGCTAGACCATCATGGTAATCCTGGAAGCACTAGATGGCCGTTTCATTCTATTATGGGACTCCTCAGAAGTGCGCATCCACGACCGCACCTCGCGAGATTCGAATCCAGGACCTACCAGTCTCGCCCGTGAGCGCTTAACCATGTGATATAATATTTATTCGATTCCAAAGAGAAAAGTTTGTATTTATCTACCATATAGAGGTGAATTCAATAGTATGGTTTTAAGACAAAGATTGAAAGCAGCCATCAAGAAAGCCTATTATATTGCTAAACTGGTTATGATAGGAAAGTCTAAGCCCACGATTCCAAATAGACATAGACAAAGCACAAATGATTATGTCACATACTATTGCATTAACCAACTTACATGTTTGTGCAAACATACATACATAAGGATGAGTAATCAAACAATGAAAACAAGACTCATGGAACATGTGCCTAGATGGCTTCAAAACCAGTTAATTTCAAATGATCCGATCAATGTGGGAAGTAGAAAATCATGTTCATCTATAGCAAAACACATAATTGAAACGCGGCACAAAATCGACATCAATACATTTCTTAAAACGTTGCATAGAAATTGTTAAGAATGAATTCTCAGGTTTATTGAGGCCTTGGCTATTGATAAATTTAAACACCCTTTATGTGTACAAAAACAATTTGTTGTAACCTTTAATTTACCCTGGTAACCCTTGAGTTATTTTATGGCCTAGGGTAATGCGACAGTTTCTTATCCTTTCTATACTATGTTAAAAAATTTTCTCTCCTCTTTATTACCTTGTTTACTTGAACCTTCGTTTAATTGACCTTTATTAATCTTCATATTAAATACCTTGACAAATACATATGTAACCAGTTTGTTCGAAATGCATAGCGCAGATCAGATCAACTCCGTCTTCTCATTGCTCTATCGAAATTCACAAAAGTGACTAATTGCTTTAAAGTTATTCTTGAATTTCCTTATTTTGAAGAATTATAAAGCTGATTTTTTGGGATTTACTTTAATTTTCTTATGAGTACATTTTCTTCTAAAATTAAAGATGCTCATTAAGATGTTTAGATACAGCTAATACAAAGATATTTGTTGATAAGAGTACTTTTTAAACATAGGAATATCAAAGGAATTCGATTCATTATTGGTAGAGAATAAGTTATATAATCTGTAAAGTTTTGAATAGAAAGCGCTCGCTTTTTTTAATTTGAGTCACCTTATATTTGTGAACAAATAAAAATAGAGTCTTAGCTAATATTAGTAAACTTGGAACATTATCACAATCAAATTTATTTATGAGTACAATACACTAGGGGAAAAGAATTGTGTAAAGTTACACTTAATTCATGCTATTGCAAACACTAATTCATATGTACGTAATTATCAACACTCTGATGTTATTAGAAGGTCTGTTCAAATTATTTATTATTATTTGGACAGTTCATCAAATCCTAAATAACCTTATCTTTTTACACAACAAAAAAATTTAGAACTCACTTGATTTTTAAAAGTTAACTTTATAAAATATTGACAGAAAAGTTATCTTTTACCAATTCAGTTAATTTCATGTATGGGTTTCTCACTACTTAAATACTAATATTCAATATCAATTGTTATACTATCGTATCAACGCGCATATTACCATTCAAACTAAGATTACTAAATATATACGTTGATTAATCACTGAATAGTGATCAATATCATGTTTTTCTAGACCTTAGTATTAACCAAATCCTATTGATCAAGTCGCAATATGACCATTAATGTAAGTTGATTGGGATTAGTCAGGATGAATTTGACGTTACCGTGACAACTGCTCACTCAAAATTACAGGTATAACTTGTTGGTGAGTGCCACCTAACAAAAACTCTAGGTCTCAGGGTTTCCTATCAGTTGTTTTCAACCACACAATATTCTTACTGAATATATATGCTTATATTTTTAATTAGTACTTAAAACTTGTTTGGAACTCAAAGATATCTGTATTCACCTCTACGTGTATTCTATTGAATAGATTCGTTTAGTATGATTTTCAGCATGATGATATTTTGAAGGTTTTTAATGTACTTCATTCATTTTGAGACTTTTAAATTGAGTAAAACAATTAATTTACTAAAAAAACACTGAACAAATTTAATCTAATTATAAGTTGTACGTCATATATTGGTCTAGTGGTAAAGCGCTCACGCGCGAGACTGATAGGCCCTGGACTCGAGTCCCGCGAGACAGGATCGTGGATGCACACTGTTGAGGAGTCCCACAATAGAACGAAACGGTCTTCCAGTGCTTCCAGGTTTCCTATGATGGTCTAGCTTCAATTAACCAATGATTTCAACCATTAAAATTACTACAATTTCCACAAAACCCTTTCTGATATATTGAGAAGTCAAATACGAATATAGTTCAATAAATATACATTTTATAACAAACTGAAGAAAACATAACAATGTTATATTCATTGATTTAATGACAGGATTACTTACGAAAAATATTCGGTTGACTTCCTCTTCTATGATGCTGTTTTCCAAAAGAGTAATAATAAAGAACAAATTAAATAGAATGAAAAAGAATTGGTGAAACATAACTTTGATTTAACATTGACCTATCTAATACCTTTTTTTAATTTTTAGCCCCTCTCATATGAAATATGAAATCTGTTACTTTTTCATCTATAATACTTTTGCTCGTATTGTATACTTGCAGGAGACTGATAGAATGTAACAGATTAGATTGTTCTGAATAACACTGTACACTATTATTTCATTTTATGGTTTACCATCGTCTTTTAGAGATAAGTCCTTCTTTTTGAAAACTTACAATCATTGAAAAACGCAAAAGTCTAAGTTCTGAATTTTTTGTAGATATCTTTAGACTCCCAATGGGTTGGAGAATGCTGGTCGGCGGCCTATGCTCCATTAGGGGTAACAGACGTAAGTAAATTAGACTATCGTCCTCTATGAATTCTGCATTAAAGTGTAAAGGTAAGTAATTAAATTAGAATTAATTAAATTAGAACCTTTAATCAGCCTATAATCGATCACTCTTATTTTGAAGCTAAATAAAGTAGTATGTTAATGAATCTATCAAGTATAATAAGATAATGATGAAAATCTAATTAGTTCCTATAGATAGCTGGACAAAATATAGACTTGATATAGGTGAAACAAAATACTTAGATTCTCCATTTGAGCAAGTAAACATATTTTAATATAAGCGTAATATGACTGACAAAATAGTGTGCGTTATTCTAAAGTGACATTCAAGAACTTAAAACAATAAGCTACATATGTATGACCTATTCATG